TCTCGTAAAATAGTTTATACATACTCAGTTTCATCTGAGTTATATTTAATGAGGCTAATTTGACAACTTTGCTACTGATAACGCTCTGTAGGTAGAGTTCAAAGAGAAAAACTCCACATGGAAAGCAAAAGTGTTAGATTGTCAAAATGTTCCCCTATCCCAATTTCAAACTGCTCATCATACTCTAGAGAAAAACAAAGGAGGGCTTGCAATGGCTCTCCAAGTAGTTCGATAGGGTTTGTAAAACACCCCAAATGCTAGATTTAAAGACCTAGAAAACACTGAAAAATAATGGACTCAATGACAATGCAAATATAATATACCAAGAAAATATGTTTGTGTTGATTAAATTATTAAATTAAATGATACTGAAGATGGTAGACATTTGGAGAGACATTTCAACTTGTGAACAAAATTTCTGATCATTTTTCCATTTGCTATGAAAAAAATCAGAGCCACTGCTGATGAACTATTTGCGAGTTAAAACTGACTCCCAAGAGCTCCTCGGCATCTCAGTTTAACAGAGGAGTTACAAAACTTAACAGGTAATGAGATAACTGCTCAGCTCCAAATATATTCTGACCCCTGTGGGTCCCTCAATTTATTTACCCTTAGAATGGGAAATGGAGAGGCAGTTCTGAGTAATTGCTAATAAAAGCCTATTTGCCTCTGGCAGAAATACAAATGTGAGTTGATAATGATCATTTTCCCAGACCCCGTTTACATGTCTCCATTAACATTCCAGTGCCCAACTCTCAAGTTCCCAAGATCGTACCAGTTTTGGTCCCCAACTAAAAGACCAAAAACTGAGCTGAGATTTGGGGAATCAGTGGAGCTGACTTCATGAAGCAGTAGCTGGTTTGTTAACTCCCAACAAAGTCATTTTGCGTGTCCACACCTCATTTAATTTTCACTGGGATGACATACAATCTTTATGACAAAAACGCACTCAACAAACACCCTAAAGAACATGTTTCTCGTGGGTCCACCAAAGGATAAAATGTTCTCAACACCACCTCCTAAGATAATCACCCTTCCCCAAAAGCCTCTTTTAATTGGCTGGTTGACTGTTCCCCTGGGTATGACTCAAGAGTTTATCCCCAGTGTGTAACCAATATGGAAAAGTCTTACTGATTTCTGAGAATGCTGACAAGGACCATGGTATGGAAAAGTGGACTAAGATTATGTTGAAGCACTAGTGTAACCCTGGCACTTCGGGAAAAAAAAAAAAAAAACAACTTCTACTTGAGGAGATTGGCCTCTATGACCTCTTCCACCTCTGAAGTCCACAGTCAGCCCATAGGAAAAACTGCTGAATGTTGCAGAGAGATTTAACAGAACCAATCTGCCAGAAAAGGGGAAAGAAATTAGACTACAAATTTTTGTAAATWAAGTAAAAGTCACAAGTTATAAAAAGTACAAATCTACACTTACCTCGCCCCCTAAACATGCTTGTGCAAATGTAGGCTGTAAGTATAAATAACTACAATAATTTATAAGCTGATTAGCATCACAGGTCTGTTTATCATATCTTCATATGGAAACCCTTAGGATAAACTATTACATCCTTGTTTTTGTGAAGCAAGTGTACCCATTTCTCCTAAACATTGTTCAAATGTAGAAACTCTGCCTAATTTCTAAAGATTAAACTTCAAAGCAGGGTCTTCAAAAATGACCATGCCAATACCTGCAGTCTCCCCAAGCCTAGGAATCCAACTTCACTCAACCAAAGTTTCTACAAAGAAATATTAATCACAACCAGAAAAAGGCAAGAGTGCACCCTAAAGTTAAATAGCATTGATGTTATCATAGACTACACCTCATTTGAGAACCCTTTCAATCACTGTCACCATTCTAATGTTCGTGAGAGATGATTACTGATTTCTAAATGGCAGTATATTTCTATTCCAAACGGGGATTACTGTCATCAGATTTAAAAATAAGACCAACATGTCATACACTAAATTAATTCTAAACATATTCCACACCTCACCAATGCCCTCAATAACAAATGCTTTTTAAAAATGGAGGCTTTTTTCAGGATTAGTTATTTACATTTTATTTTAAATTTAATGATAAACTTCCCTTTAGTTTGGCTTAGAAGGAAATAATTCTCTTTCTCAACCCCTATTAAAGAAATTTAGGAGTGAATCAGGGAAACTTAAAAGAATTTGAAAGATAGCTTTCTAGGACTAATATTACTGCCTTTATAATAAGGATGTTTAAACAATGGCTTTTTGAAGATTCCATCAAAGTTAGAGTGCTTAATAATAAATTATGGTCAGTGATTATCTACCTAATGAAAAATATTTCCATTTCCCTGTTTACTTGAATTCATGCTCTTCTGCCTGAGGAAATTCAGTATTATAAATTGACATTTGGATTACTAAATCTAAACAACAAGGACTGCTTAATTATGTAGAGGTTTTCTAAATGTTGTAGCTTTCTTTCCATCCCAACCATGTGTTCTTATTATACATAATGGTAACTTTTTGAGTTTTAAGGACATTTTAAACAAACATTCACTTATGTTGCAGTTACTTAAACTTGAAGTCAGGAAAAAAAACAAATCTATTTCAGTAACTTTAATTCCAATTTAGGCCTTTGATTTGAACCTTTTGTGTATCAATTCTACCAAAAGTGCTAAACATTATTTCTACCCACCAAAAATTTAGTATGATTAAAGATGTCAGCAACTTGTTGTCATTAGTTTTAGTTCATTAAAAAAGATTACATTCATTCAACCTAAGATTTTTTGATCCAGAATTTAACTGTTAAAAAACCAACAAAAATGCTTTGAAAGTATGGAATTTGCAAAACGCCTGAGAAGTCACTAATGGGATTCCCATGATCTAATACATGTAAGGCTTTAACTGTAATCGTAAACCCACTGAAAGCTTATGATCTGAAAGTATGGACTATTGTAGCCAGTTTTTATGAGTTTAATTCCACTCGCAAATCCTAGTTTCTATATTTTAAGTCTCAACTAGAACAAAATCAAGAAACGTTTTGAAAGGATCAATCTAAAGAAAGGAAGCACTGGAAAAACAGGGCAAGAAAATCATTGCCAACATCCACCTTCTGCCACAAACCATGAATGAACTTCTAGAAGCACAAAACTGAGCAAAAATTTAGCTTGAGATACATGTCAGTTCACTTTTAACACTCACAGAACTGCATATGAATCATTATATTTTCCTGTTTCATTTCCCACACAAGGCTCAATAAATCATAAAACTTACTCAGCTTTCACGGGCTGGATGACTATTTTCTGAGCCTATTTATTGCTCTTTTACTGGCATATTTTCTTCTATGATCCAAATCTTTGACTCCTATACTCCAGGAAAAGCCTTCAAATTAATGCAAAGTCATTAAAAATTATGCTGGTACTAAGCCATGCCTAGGTGCTTTGGAGAAGTGATATTTTGCCCTAGAAACATCTCTAATATTCAATGATTGCATTGGTTACACCGAGACTTGGGATTGAAATGAAACCTCTCTTTTTCTTCAAAGGATTTGAGTTATTGTAGCAAATGGTTGTTCTGAAAACAAAATTTAGCCTATTTCTTAAATCAATATATGTGCAAAATATTCATTAAAGGCTCAACACATGTAAAAATAACATCAAGGATATCTATCTTATTACTAAAATTCCTTATTTTTATCTTATTTCAAATATTTCTTAGTTTGTAAAATTTGGTATTACAAGGTTTATTGTGGAATATCAGGCCCATCCTACCTTGCAGACAAATTGTACTTTCAGTGTAACTGAATATAATATTCATTTTATAACTAAATGCATGTAGGAACAACTTGATTTTAAAAAGCTTTACTTATATATATTTATTATAGATTTACTGACTGTCTTATAGGGACTACCCGTAGACTTAAGAGAAAATATGGGATTCCAAGCATTATGTGCTAACAGATTTCAGCYTGAATATTCCAAAATATTCTCTCAAAACTGCTGTTGACTCGTCACTTCGCTTTTTAAATGCAAGCACAATTTAATTAATTTATTTCAAGTCAACCATACAACAAACAAGCTTCAAAAGCTATTTTGATTTGAAAGTACTAAATGTTTGCCTTTAATGGAAAGCAGAGTCAATAACTTCTTTGATATAAATTGCTTCAACTTTTTTCCTACACTCATGTTTCCATAGCCTAAATCCTAATAATGTCAAAGCACTTTAAAATTTGGAACTTCTCATAAAGCACTCAAAGATTTTAAAATAACTTTGTATTTATTCTCTATACAAACCTGTAATTTTTTTTCAATATATTTATTAAGTTCTTTTTTTTTTTTTTCTTTCTTACTGGTCTTAGCTCTGGTGGAAAGAGAAAAGCAGATTGGAAGAATGTTTCTATTGTTATTATGATTGGTTTTAGTCACTTGGACCAACAGAATTGATCCCCTCAGCTTGTGCCACAAATGCAAAATGCTTCAAAACTACTTTCCCGGAGGGAGATGATTTTAAGTGAAATGCAGTGAATTCAGGTTTTGTTGTGACCCTCAGGGCATTGATTTAATTCTAAAAATTCCCAACGGAGACAGTAGAGATTGGACAAGCTAACTCAAAGTAGAAAGTAAGGCCACCAAACTCAAGCTGACAATCCCACTTCCTGAAACAATGACTTAGGCGCTCAATCAGGTCAAGGGTTTGAACTTTCCAACTCAGAGCCACAGAGCAGCGGGGAAGGAGGAAGCATACTTCGAACAGAAGACCTGGCTCTGCAGGAGCGTCCCGCACCTTGGCAGTCCTGCCTTTACTTAATTTCCAATGGTGYGATGAACACCTTGCCTGGCCCTTCCGGGTCAGGTTGCAGACGCCTTTGCAATGCCCACCGCTGGAGAGTCTAGTCTCCTTGTAGGAGCGCAGAAAAAAAACAAACAAAAATCCCTGAGCCTCTTCCTCTCGCTCTCGCGTGGGAAATCAGAAGCGACCCATACTGGTGCGAAAGCTACCGAACTCCACTTATTCACTAGAGGGGCGTCTTACCCGTACAGGAATGCAGGGGCTTGGGTCGCACCACCAGAGACGGGCACACGGAGTAGAGGGAAAGTTTCTCAAAGTAGTCGCAGGTCTCCTTGGAGAGGATCTCGTCGATCATGAAAGTCTTGTAGCGCCGCCTGGCTGCTTTGAGCTGGCCGGGCGAGCTCACCCTCAGTTCGGCGTGGCAGTGCATGGTGAGCCGGGACCAGCGCCCGCCGACTTGAGTGAGGTTGCGAGTGCCCGGCCGTCTCGGTACGCGGGGGCTGGCGCGCGGGCGGGGGCCTCAGCCCCGCTCCTCCGCAGCCAGAGAGGCGGCGCGGCTCGGGAGGCGAGCGGAGGGGAGCGGGCACGGGCGCGCCTGCTGCGCGTCTACACCCACCCGCAGATCAGCATCTTTGGCGAGCCTTTTTGGGACAATGCAGCTGTCAATCAGCGCGCACTTCCTGCAGGGCCAGGTGCGGAGTGCGAGCCTAGGGGCGGTGGTGGCCCACACCCCCGCCCCTGCCCTCCCGTGCCCGCCCGTGCTACCGGAGCGCTGACCTGAGCGCCTAGTGCCCAGCCGCTCTCGTCGCGTCCTCCCGCCTCTTGGTGTCTAGCGCTCCTCTGCCGGCTCTCTATTTTAAGACACTCGCTTTGGCTCTCCTCCCCGCCCCCCACCCCGGGACAAGCTCCAGGTGTGTGTATGGGGGTGCGCGCGCTTGTGTGCGCGTTTTGCTGGCAGTGCGCACCACCCATCCCAAGGCCAAGACCTCCACCGGTTGCTTTTCCAGGCGGCGTACCCCGAGCGCACTTAGGAACCAATCCTGCACCCGCAGGCCCGGCTCCCAACCCAGGTCTCTTGTTAGAAAGAGAGTCCTCACCGAGGGTATACAGGCCACCGCACAGGCTCCCGTCATGGACCACTGTGCCTTTCTCCTTCCCCGCGTGGACCGTTTCTTCAAGTCCACGGCTTTCCTTCCCTCCTCTTGCAGCCCCGAAGCCCCAACGAGCTAGTGCTCTCGTAGCACGGGGAGTTTGTGCCATGGTTGTAAACTTGACTGCTCCACCASGATCACAAACCATAAATGACCATAGCTCAGTCCGTTAACCCAGTAATAAACTGGAAAAAAAATAATAACAAAAGCGCTCATTCCTTTTTTTTTTATGTTTAAATTCTGTTTGTGAAACGTTTTTCCTAGCTGGAAAAGAAGAGCACAGCGCAATTCCAGTGTACTGGCGGACTTTCAAGCCATCAGCACAAATTCGGGCTTCTAGCGTCAAAACCTGCTGTCTTCGCAGCTTTCATTCCCGGGTCCCTCGCAACACGATAGGGTCCCGGTAGCCTCAAAAATATTTGTTTATTGAGTAATTTGCCTTCTTCCTTCTTGGCTTCTAATCCCCGAGTCTGCCCCCAATGAATATCTATTAAAAACTTTTGTTTTCAATCATAATCCTTGAGTTAGGGACCCCAGCTGAGCCTCCGCCTCCCGGGACGTCTCCAGTAACCTGCCCCGCGCACCGCTGTTGATGGAACCCCCGGGGGCACAATAGTTTCCACGGTTTTATCTCGGAATTTGGTATGCGCACGGCTGGAAAGAAAAAGCACGATAGGGACACAGAATTATAGCCACGGCCGGCCGATGAGATTTCCTCGCCGCTTGTAACCTGAAAGTGAGCGCGAGTTGGCTCTCTGCGGAGCTGCTTGCTTGCCCTGGAACCAGCGTAGTCGCGGAAGCAAGTGAACGCGCGTATCTGAGAGGGTGGTTAGACTCAAGGAAAGGAACGTGTCTGAAGGACTGATCATTAGGCACTTAGAGAAAATAAATATTAATAGATCAAGACCTACTCTCGCATTAGACATGGTCCGCAATCCGTATTTGAGGAACTTCATTCCCCAAGTGTTTGTAGGTGCCTCCCCCTCCTATTTAAAATTGTTTTTTATTATTCTCCTTCATTAAGCAGAGTCAGCTTGAGGGCCCATGAGCACTGCCGCCAGGTGTCACAGCGGCGGCGCAACTCCAAACTCCAAGCCCTGGGATCGCCTCACTGGGCCCATGCGCGCCCCCTTCTTTTGCTGTTGGACCCTGCGGCCTGTGGGCTCTCAGGGCTCAAGACTAGSGACGGCTCCCTACTCAGCCCGGCCCGGCAGTCCCGCAACACTGCCAAAGTGTTGTCCTGGTGGCAGGTGGAGCTGGAACCCGTTGCGCAATGAGCCAGGGCCGGATCCTAAGGGCGCAGCGCTCTCTCAGAGGGAATTCCTGGATGGTGGGTTTGATTTGCCCTTAGAAAAGGGTACAGCTGTAGGCAACTGCGAATAAACAATGTTTGGCAGGGTCTGAGAGCGCATGGAGTCGGAGCGACCCTACCCACAGACGCGACCGCGAGCTGCGCTAGGAGCTCTCAGGGCCCAGCACCTGGGCAAAAGCACCGCTACTTGATTCTTTGCGAAGGGCTGAGCTTTATGCATTTAGGGTTTGAAGGCCCCTGAGTGTGCTCACGGAAGGGAGCGCTGTGGATCAGTCTTCCTCGCCCTGTGTTTGCTCTATCATCTTTTCCCTCAACTTCTTCTCTCCTGCTCTTCCCATTTCTTGCACTGCCACTAGCTCTCTTCCTTTTCCCGCTCCCAGTTCTCCGGTTCCCCAGTTATTTCCCGCACTTTTGGCYTTCTCTCTGTCCAATTTCTCGCTTCCCTTTTCTCTTCCTCCTTCTATAGACCACTCGTTTCATTTTCTTTCTTGCTTTCTTCCCTTCTCTTCTGCCTCTCCTCCTCCCCTCGCTCCAAACCGGGTCTGGAGTTGCCACGGGTGCCCCTGATGGTGGCGCTGAGGTGCAGAAGGCTTTAGCAGCTCTAGAGCAGGGGTCAGCGCCCKAGACTACTGGTCCTGCCAGGTGGAAATCGCCTTCGGACCAGGCTCCGCTCTCAGACCGACCTCTCCTCAGCTTTCCGCATCCCTTAGCTTTGTCACGCAGCCACACGCACTAAAGAAGTAAAACATTTCAACCAGCTMYTTGGATTTTCCATCTTTTCTATTTTCCACTATAGAGGCAAGAAATTTCAGAGGGGGTCAGTAGGCAAAAGTTCCCTTGAGTCACTAGAGAAGAGATTCCAGATTTTGGAGTCTGGAACTTCCAGCTCTCCCTACTTCATAATAATATAAGCTGAAACTCAGGATGGTTTTGTTTTTTGTTTGTTTGTTTCAATTTTAAAATGATAATCGTAATACTACACAGGTTGGCCTTTATAAAAAATTGTTTCCTTTCATTGGAATGTCCTTTGCATCCCATATTCTGCCTCTTCTGCCCCCAAACTAGTTGGAGATTCATCTCAAGTGTTACCATCGTGGTAGAGATTTCCCCTACTCCCCAAAGCTGTATTGTCTTTTGCATGGTTATTTCACCCATTGGATAATGAACTCCTGGTGGGGCAACAGCCCCATGCAACACTATTCCTCTTGTATCACCAATATACCCACCTAGCACTTGGCACATGGTCGGTTCTCAGTAAATGTGTCATGAATAAATGAATGCATGACAACTGGGAAAACTAAATTATATAATGTGTTTGAAGGGACATCAAATCTTAATTAGTTGTACTAAATTTGTCCTTCTCTTTAAATGAGTGTCTCCTTCTCTTTYCTTGATAATTTTGGGTTTTTCGCAATGGCATCTAGCCCAATTCCCTTTTTGCTCCCATTTCCCTCTTTTCCCTCCCTCTCTGCACTCTCAGACTGCAAAGCACTTCTGTGGGAGGAAGCACACCCCAACTGTCAATCACAAAGTAGAACTGCGGTCAGAATAGCCCAGGGTTTTGTTTCCAACATTAATGAAGTGGCTGGAACAGCAAACATCTGCCGAAGGGGCCCAAACCCTTTCCAGCAGCTGGAGACCCACAGACACTTCCCAGCCTCCTGTGACTGTACCCAGGCAGTGTCTGCTCCTGTGTTCCTGGAACACACAGAGAGAGGAAAGCACTGGTCTGCCTTTAGCTACATTTAGGCAGGCATGGAGAGGAGAAAATTTCACAAGACTGCAAGTCATCAGTCCTCCTACCCGCTTCAGTCTAGTACCTGATTCCTGAGGACAAACCCCWGTAGTGAGACAGGAACATAGCCAATACCTTTGCAATGTTAGAGCTAAAGGCTCTAACAACTAAAAACCAAAGAATCATTCTTTCCCACCTCACACCCAATAGCTTTACTTTTCTAGAACTCTTGAAATTTAATTAAAAATGGTTTTTACTGATGCATTATAATTACATCAGTGAGATTCATTATTATGTATTCATACATGCACACAATATAACAGTACAATTTGGTCAATTTTATTCCACTATATCTCCAAAGCAAACGGATTTTAAAAAATCCTAGGGTGACTTTTAAATTGCATATATGATATAAACCTAGAACTTGACTCTTAGTTTTACCATCCTTTTAAAATCTTGAGATATGTGTTGATGTGAATACTCAGAAGTAGCCAGGACATAAGTCTTTTAAGTACAGTAATTCTTTTCCCAACCATCTTTTCTCCAAAGAGGAAAGAAGGGGAGAAAAGCATTTCTTACATTCTCATCAAGTGTACTTAGTAACTTATATTTCAGCCACCAAGTTTTGAAATAGTTTCAGACATGTAAAAGCAAAATAGGGAAAGGCTTGTAAGTTAATATTCCCCTGGGCCCCAGGGCCATGCCAAAACTGCTTGCTGTCTGCAGCCGGGCACAGCAGCCTCGAATAACAAGTTAAAGGAGGTGTACAAGGAGGCCAGCTTATTTTTAATGATGATATTAATTTACAAAAACTGCTCTCATACACTGGAAGGCATCTTTTTAAGAGAGGGCACAAATGCAATCCACTTGACAAATGGTCTTGGGAGTGACTAGCACCTTATATCCTTTCTCAAAAGCCAGTTTAAATTGAAAAAAAAATAAATAAAAGATAATGGCTGTGTCTACAAAGCACTGAATGTTTATATAAAGTTGGGGAAATTCAGTAAATCATCCAGATGTTGCCAAATTTTGAGAAGCTTGCTGTACAGATTAAAATTTGAGCATTATTTCTCTTTTTTAATTGTGCTATGCTGACATCAAACAGCTATATTTCTGCCAATATCCTTTGCACCTCAATTATCCCAACTGATGTAGCCGGGAATATAGAATTCAATTGTCTGAACTTTATCATAATAGTGTGGAAATACTGGAGCATCACTGGTTTTGACTTGTTTCCCTTCCATCTCATATCCCTTAATTAATAATGCCTCAAAAAGAGAGAAGCAGCAGTGTGAAACATGTGATGGAATAAGGTCCTGGCTGTCTCKGGGTAAGGGAAATGAACTTTGAGAGTCAGGCAAACCTTATGTTTTCCCTACCCAATCACTGAGTAATTTCCCCTGGTCCCTAATCATAACTTGTGAGTAAGGAGAGCCAACTCTCTTTACTCCTTGCTAAAAAATTCTCTCCCCATCATCTTTGTATTTTCAATAAAATGAGCTATTTGCTATCAAAAACCATCACAAAACAAAAACTGCACTTTAAAAAATAGCAGCCCTGGCCTCTGCTGTTCCATGTATTTGGGGCTGGATTTTCTCAATGTTCAAAACTCAGGAACC